AAGTTACCTGTGATTTTCTGAACACTTACTAAACTCAAAAACTCTGTAACTAGTGCACGGTTTTGCTGTGCTGTTGAGTACGAATAAAACCTTATGGGTACCTCTGACCTCAGTGGTCTGAAAATAAAATTTGCAATATCAATGGCATGTTCTTATAAAGACAAAATTGACATTTCTAATCAGACAATATCATAATTAAGACTTGGTTGCAGGAAGTGAGTGAACAATACTTAAGTTGATTTTTTTAAATTATTGAAAGCTGATGTGTCAGAGCAGTGCACTGACTCACAGTAACTGAATCATCCTATCAGCATGTGGAGGAGTGATTTATATGCCATATCATGGAGAACTGTAGAAGCAGTTCTCTCTCTTTGTCTCTTCAACTCTAAGAACATGGCTTTGAAGTTGTAATTATTTAAATTTCTGAAATGTCCCAGCCCCTGTACTGGTGGCTGATGGATTTGTGACAGACTGGTGTCAGGAACACAGCTCGGGGAGTCTGGGAGTAAATACAGACTAAGGAGTGACAGAATTGTTGTAAGGCAAATTTGACCCATTTTTGTTACTCTTGAGGTGCAGAGTACTCCAGAGTAATAAATGCTCTTGAATATTGGCTCTGTCCTCCCACAGGGCAGAAGAAACATCACTGTTGGAATGGCCATAGGGTCTCCATCTTCAGCAAGGAGAGAAGCAGTGGTTGGATTCATGGCCTTTTGTGATTATCTGTGCTTTTTTCCTTTCAAAAAATAGGCCAAGGGAAGCACACTGCTCATCACTCAACATGAGCTGCTGTGGCTGCTTTAGATCTAGAAGAGAATTGCTTGCAAGATGAATGAATAAGAATAAAAATAAAACTCTTGTGTCCAGGCTATGATCTAAACATAGCAAGGGGAATAGAATGGGCAAAAATTCCCAGAGAGGATTGACTGTTCCTAAAATGTGAATATTAAGGCCTGGAATGCTGAATATGTGAGGAAATGTTTAAATTTTGCTTTAGTGACTTGATCTGTGGCCCAGTGAAGGCATTTGCAGTTCAAATAAAAAAAATCTTAGTCTCAGGTCTCTAACTTTCCTGGTTTGGGTTTGCTTTTACTTCTTTCCCCTGTTCTGTAAACCTTAAATCAGTCTCTTCACTTTTGTTCATGTCTCTGTAAGGGATTAAGAATTCAAGACAGAAAGAGTTTTATTGCAGGAATTGTCACAGATTCCTAAGGCTGTGCACAAGTGTTGCTTTCACCTTTTGTCAAATCCTCTGAAGCACAACCTTGTAAGGAATAGTTTGGCAGAGCTGAGGTAACACTTCTGGAGCACAAACTCTGCTCCTGGTGAACAAAGCAGGTTATGGTGGCAAACTTAGGCATGGAGAATTTCCCACATGTATTCTCTAGGTAGGCATATGTAGAGCTGCCAAACAAACAACTTAATCTGTGCAGGCTGAGAATAAAGTTATTTCTGAAGAAGGTTTGGGCTGGAAAGTTAAGCATACCCACCAACAATTTCCAGTAATGATTGTAATGTGTTAGGAAATTCAATACTTTCTCTTTTTTCTAATGTGTCTAAACATTATGTCTGTTTTACACAAGACTTATATTAAAAGATAGGGAAATAAAGTAGATTTGGTTTGGGAAGCTTTTACTTTTCCTAATGCTACAAATTTGTACCTGATCAAACATTGCAGGGATTCATAAGTGGTGTTTGCTTTAAGACTGCCTTAAGAATCTGCTTCTTTGAGTTACTTGTGAGCACATACAGGGTGGCAACACCTTCCTCCTGATCTTTAACCTCCCAAGCCTCCCACTGTCTCGTTAGTGTTACCTTGATCATCTTTTCCCCTGTATCTTTATGGTGGATTTATTTTGTGAAAGGTAGGAGGTCTTTGGCTTATAAGCTTGTAGCTAAAACCTTTCTGTTCTCAAAGTGCTTTGATATATTTAGTGTGAGCATAAGAGGCAAGACTTCTAAGTACCACAGTGGAAAACTTCTAAAAAGATATTTCCTTCTTATGATATACAGTAAAATAAAAATTATGCTTCTAAAGCTATTTCTGAAATAGCTGCAAATATGGAAGGAGAGTTTGTAATAGCTCAGGTCACTGCATGCCTCCTGCTTTCCCTGCACTGTTGGCTTTGTAGGGATAGTTTGTTTCCATTTCTGTTGCCATTGGTTGATTTGAGGAGCCAGCATTACATGAAGTTGAAACAGGTTTGTGGGTTTTTGGAACAGCTGATGCTCCTGCCCTGTGTGACCTCCTTGCTTTAGGTGGAGCCTGAGCTGGCCAGGACAGCAGAGCAGGAGCTGTTGGAGCGAGAAGTGCAGGGGCAGAACATCAGTGGGTGTGTTCATTTTCTGCACTGCTCTTCTGATGGTTGGATGGTAAACTAGCAATAAGCTGTTCTGACAATTTGGGAAGATTTTGGTTTTGACCTAGTGATGCCTGCTGCTTTCTTTTTTAACTCATTTTGTGTCATGACTGGTCACAGCATTGAGGGCTGTTCTAGAGGTGCACTCATGACTTGTTTAGAGGTGATCACAGCCAGTTCCCCTGTGTGTGTCATTGCACCCTCTTTTCCTGGGAAGGAGCAGAATAAAAGTAGGAGAGGGTGTGAAGGAAGGGGAAAACTCTGTCTTGGATAAGAAAGGGATGTTCCTGTATATTGGAGGAGGAGAAGTGACACGTTGATTCTGTAGCTGAAATCCTGATTCCCTAAAGTATCCAGACCATAAGCAAGACCTAACTTGCCTTTTCAAAAAGTTGAATCCTATTTTAAAATAAGCTGGTGACTGTATGGATCCAACTGATTCTCATTACTCATTTGCAGTATTCTGTTTCATCTTAGACTGTAGCCTCAAGAGATGTGAGCAGGGGTGGGAGTATTATGAAACAAAGTAATTTGATTATTTGGGGTGGGGTAGAAGAGTGGCAGCTTTGTTTTAACTCAGCAAATTGTTTAAAAGCACAGACAGATGAAAAGGAGCCAGCTAATCTGGTTAAGAATAGCCACTATGGTTTTTTATATTGATTTCTTTCCACACTCTGTCTTTTAACCTTGTTTTCTTACAACTTTTGAAAGCCCATCTTGAGCTATACTGAGCAAATAGAGGATATGGATAAAATAGCTTCCTTTCAAGATGTGATTGAACTTCTCTTTCAACTTACCACTAAATTTCTTACACATTCTTCAATTTCTCGTAATTTCCATTGCAATAAAAACCTCTTCAAGATAGGAATTTTCTGCCTTTTAGCCTAAAATGACCAGCTTTTACATGCTTGTTATGTCATGTGTTTACAATACATTTAATGCTAAAAGATTTATTTTTAGCTGGCTCAGTAAAATAGCTGGTTGCTGGAGTTGTTGTCATAGCAGCAATCTTAACAGATAGGCTGATCCTATTTAGCTTTTGCAGCCAACGAGAGGCCGTTAGGCAACAGTTTGACAGTTCTGCAGCATTTTTTCTAAAGATGGAAATTGTGCTGGTGGTGGTGAATTTTTTTTGGCCCAACTTTTAAAATATTTCTTTCTGTAGGTGTGTGGAGTTCAATTCAACATTTTCCCTTAACAACTTATGATAACTTTGAATACACAACATGTGAGATTCAGAATTTAAGTCTTAATTTGTAGGAGCTTGAAAATAAATTACATGGTGCAACATATTGCAAGCTGCTTTGATGATTTTTTTTTTTTTAAAGCCAGAAGTATTCTGAGAGAAAAATGCCAGACTAGAGAACAAGATTGTGCATCATTTATTCAGCAGTAATTTTAAGTCATGGCAGACTGGGCAAATATTACTGAAGAATTTTGTGGGTTGTTTTTGAGGAAATGCACTGCCTGGGTTAGATGATACCTTAGGATTTTAATAATCCCAATTCTTATTTTATTTTAGTATGAAGAGAAAAGGGTCCTTCTTTACTGACAAGCAAAGAATTAGTATTTTCAGATTAGGCTATTAAATCAGGCATACCCCTAAGTGTTCTTTGTAGCTCTAAGCTCTTACAGAAGTTCAGTTGCCTTCAGACATAGGTCTGAATGCAGTTCTGAGATGAAAAGTGAATTTACTGCAAGGAATTTCTCATGTCTGTAACTTCCAGTCAGGTGGCATTGAACCTAAATTACTTTCAATTTCAGTGTGGCTGAGCAAAGACTTACTCTCAAAACTCTCTTAAGTCTCTTATTAGACAGAGTAATTTAAAAAAAAATATTGAAGTACTTCAGTTTAATGCTAAGAGATGGATTTGGGTGCTGTTGGCTTAGAGTGCTTCAAATATGATTAAGAGTCAAAAAGTCTATTTAACCTTCCAATGACTTTTTTTGTTCCTTAAACCTCGCTTGTTAAAATGTGTTGCTATCATAGACTGTCATAGCAGGGATGTGTGCTTATTAACTTCCAATTAATCAAGGCAACTTTTCTCAGAGCTGCCCATTCTGGGGAGTTTTGGTGAATAGTTCAGCCCATTGCTCTCAGCTCCTGGTTCAAAGCCAGTCTCAAAAATGGCAAAGGCAACTTCTGTGACTCTGCCTGGTATGGATTTGATATTATGCCACTGTTCTGTGGACTAATGAAGAAAAATCTAATGAGGCAGAATCTCCCAGCAGAGAAATGAAATATCATATACCCACACACATTTTAATGTTGAAGTTATAGTACAGCTTTGGAGTGCATTAAGGAGGTTGGTGCTGTGAAAAAACAAAGTTCTTGGGTCCCACCACCCAAACTCCTGCCTCTTCACCAGGGCAGGGGCTTTCCCTGGCTCCTGGTGTTCATCTGAATCGTGGGATCTGCTCCCTGGTGGCTCTTGGGAATCTATTGGACAATTGGAAGAGTTTTCTCTGTGGTGTCCAGCTGGGGTTTTGTCCCAGGAGGCCAGAACAGTTTCCTGCTGTTCTGCAGCGTCCCAGTGGCACTGAGTGAAAGGGAAGGGCGGCCTGAGAGCTGCACCCGCTTTCCTGGCCTTGGGGACGACTTTCTGTCACTCACAATCTCTGTCTGTTTTGCTGTTTCAGGCAAAGTCGTGCATTTGTCACATGTGTGGTGCCCACCTGAACAGACTCCACTCTTGCCTCTACTGTGTCTTCTTTGGCTGTTTTACAAAGAAACATATTCACGAGCACGCGAAGACAAAGCGACACAATTTAGGTGAGTTCTCATCCCGATGGTGCTCATCATCCTCTGGGTCACCCCTGTCCCTTCCAGGCCAGTAAAGTGATATTTTCTTGTACTTGCATCATTAGGCAGAGAGAGAATTTTATTTGTAGTTTGAGTTTTTCTAGTATTGGCATTATTCTAAACTTGGTTCTTAAACTTCCGTTGCATCGTTGTTAAGTTTATCTTCACAACTTAGAATTTCCTAAGTATCTTGGTATTTATGAATTAATGTCATATCTAAAAATGTAAGGAGGCAGAGTTTTGGGGTTTTTTTTCCTAAGTGTTAAAAATGCTGAGTTTGATGCCTGGAACTAGAACATTTATTTCAGTAAACTTTTTTTTTTCAGGAGGTCATGTTCACTTATTTTCTTGCTGAGGAAAACACCCATTTCTATCACAAAGAAGGCTGATCAAGTAGCAATCAGAATCATTTAAAATGCTGAAGTTTGTGGGTGGGGGGGGTGTTTCTTCATTTTTCTCTGTTGGCTTCTTGTTTCTACTGGGATCAGTAACCTAAGTAGTAAGAAAACAGTTTAATTCATATAGAGTACCTTTCCCTCAACAGTCTCAAAAAATGCAGGTTTCAAGGCCAACAAGTTCTTCTGTTCTGTCAGCTTTGGTGCTATTTCATGTTCAAAACCAAAAGCCTTTAGTTTTGTTTCAGATTACCTATTACTTATAGTTCAGAATATTTTTGAGTTATAGTACAAAATCCTAATCTAAATTCTGTTTTAAAATGGATGGATGTAATTTTTCTCCAAATTAAAATACATCCTTGGTGGAGTGATATAAGAAATAGGAAAAAAAAAAGGCATAATTTCATGACATAAATTTCCTCTTGACCAGCATGGCCAGCATCCCTAAATTAATTTATCTTAAGTGCTTATGGAACAAACTGTCTTTATTTTCCATGAAGACAGAGAAGCTCCAGAAGGCCAACAGTGCTGTGTACTCCTGTGCTTAAGAAATGGGTGTGTGAGTTTACTATTTATGGAAAAGATGATTTAAACCAGCAGATTGTTATAGTTTCTTCCTCCATATGTGTCAAGAAAGAAAAAGATGAGGCTCAGTAGTGGTATAGTTTTAAGTTTGTAAATGTCTTGAAAAAGAGAATATTGGAAAATAGTACTGAAAATTCCATCATGGTGAGGCTGAGAGCCCTGGGACTGCTCAGCTCACAGGAAGAGGCTCAGGGAAACCTCATGAATGGGTACAAAAACCTGAAAGAGGAATTAAAAAATGTGTCTTGGGCTCTTCCCAGTGGTGTCCAAGAGGCAGGGAGGACCAAGTGAAATACAGGAGGGTCTGTCTGATGATCACATTACTGTGAGGGTTGTGGAGGGTCTGTCCCCAAATATATTCAGACTCTCTCTGGACATGGGAATGGGCAGCCTGGATGTTCTGGATGGCCCTGCTGGGGCTGGACAAGGTGACTTCAGAGGTCCCTGCCAACCTCAGCCATTCTTTGAAAACTGAAAATACCAAACCAACCCTGTGTGACTTCTTTTAATTGCTTTTTGCAGAGTGTGATCTCAAAGAGCTTTTAAAGTCAAATCATTAGCTGAAATTATTTTGGAATCTTTACCAACACAGAAGTGCAAATTATTTGAGGTAAACTTGAAGAATTTCTGGTCAAAGGGGTGTGTGTATATATAAAACAACCTTTTGTGCTAATATAAATTTATGACCACATTTAAGGTTTAAAAAATACTGTGCTAAATTGAGACTGTCAACAGTATTTACCTGTTTATCTGTGGACACCTTGTAAACACTGTAACATTTTTACCACTAAATTCACCATATTTATAGAGAACCTTTTAAAAAAGCTTTATAATTGCATACATTCTCAGCTGCTGTTTATGTATTTGGGAAACTTAAATTCAAGTTATTTTTTGTGCAAGGTAGAATTTGCTGTTGTTTGCTGCAGTGAATGAACTTGTTTTCTTAAAGGAAAACCAAAACTGGATGGAGGAGGGAGATTCTTAAAGATGCTCTTGCTTTAGGACTGTTGTAGTTATTGTCCTGGCACTAAACAATGAAGACTGTGTCAGATAAGGTGCTTCCCAAAAGGAATAGCCTTTAGTTAAAAAGGGCAAGAGTTAATTAAGCCCAAGCACGAAATAATTGGCTGAATCATCCCAAAAAGGATTCTTCTGCAGCTAAATATAAATTACTTGGTGCACAAATACATATAACGTGAAGATTGTGCAAGTGACTGCTCGATTTCTAGTTTTGGAGATTCCTTTCTCTCTTTTTTTTTTTAATGTATGTTTTGGTGTTTCATTTCCAGCTGCATGTGAAATGAGCTTTAAAAATATTTCTGTAGTTTTACTAGTGCCTTTGGTTGCTTTTCCTGCTGCAGTTTTAGTTGGGAAAATAACATCTGATAGGCAAAAACAAGTTAAGTGCTTTGAAATTTCAAAACGAGGAGGAATTATTTTAAAGCACTTGGTGACTTTTTGCTGAGCCAACATCAGTCTCCATGGAGACAGGCAGGAGCTGCACACTTAATCAGAGTTGTAAGAAATACCATGGATTTCAGCTGGAACAGCTGTCTGAGCACGGCAGGGATGTGTTTGCAGCTCTCTGCTGTGTCTTTCAGGAGGCTCCAGCATCATATTCCAGAGTGGTGGTAAATCCATCCCTTGCTATCTCTGCTTCCTTGAGCCATCAAAATGAGGCACACACAGCCTGACTTTGCAGTGATACCTGTGCTCTTGAATCTGCCTCCCTGTTCATTGTATGGTAATAATGCTGTGCTTAATTTAATGTATTCCTCGAGTTGTGGATGTGGGTGACAGGGAGGTGAGGTAAGATCCAGCTATAGGAGCTGCTTTTTTTAATCTCTGCATTGCTCAGTGTCTCTCAGTCAGTCTCCAGGACAGTCTGATATTCCCACTGGGCTCTGTGTGTCTTTTGTGAGGAGTCGTGAAATGGTGAGAGCAAAATCCTTACTGATCTCTCCTGGGAGTTTTCATATTGTTGATCCTGTCAGATGTTTCCTTTTCCTCACCTACAGGAACCTCAACTATTTTTAACTTCTCTTATTGAAACTCTTGTATGGTTCTCAATATCATCATACTTCACTTCTCCAGTTCTAATGTGTCCATTTCTCGTGCCAGCCCTTTGGATTAAGACAGTTTCCTGTGCTAATGACTTGAATTCTTAGTTAATCATTCCATTACTTCTGTTTTGTGCTTCTTAACCTGCTGTTCAACACAGAGCTGATATTGTTACTTGGGAGTTAAACTCAGAGACTCCAAAATTTCTTTTCTGATTGGTGTTACTTGTCTGCCTCTTTAGTGGCTGGAGTTTCACTCTTGGTGCTATTGTCTATTTGCTAAATAACTTGAAATCCTTCTGGAGCTATTCTGATTATCCTAAATGAATGTGTGCCATCAACATATTCTGTCATCTTCCTAAATAATCCTTCCAAATCAGGTTCAGCACCTGGGGAATCTGCTGGTGGATTCTATCCTTGGAAAAATTGATGGTCTCTTCCTTATCTTTTCTACAGCTGCTCAATGAAGGAAAATACAAAGTAACTTAGTCCCAGAGTAGCAGAAGCAGGAAGATGTCTGTGAACAGTAGCTCTAAAAGAGAAGAGAGGTTGGTACTATAAAGTTCATCTCAAAACTAGCAGTGATTAATTTATCAGTTTCCTGATTGGCACTGAAAAATCCTGGGCAGACACCCAAGTATTCTTTCTGAGTGAATATTTTCTGCTATACAATGTTGTTTTTTTAATACACACACAGTCTTAGCTGCAGAAAAACCCACTGCTCTAGGGCTTAGGACAGTCTGTTAGAGATGGCCATTGTGAGTTAGTTCAGTTATGGTATCAAAGCTCTGTGTAGAGCTATTTATTTAAACTCCCTGCTGAGGAGCCAACTCCTGCATGCCCATGCTGTGCTTCTCTCTATTAGAGATGCACTTTTACACCTGAACAGTGTCTCTGAAACAGCACCTCTGATGCAGGTTTTGGGTAAAGTCTTGATCTGCTCTGATGCCTCATGCTGTAGTTCAGGAGTTGAGGGAGGTGAATTAGCAGGAGTGAAGTTCAGTGGTTTAAAAACTAAGTAAGAAATAGTTGGAAGACTGAACTGTTATTCCATTTCTAGAGACACTGGCAAACAGTTCATTATGGAGTTGGTCCTGTTAAAGTATGTTCATTATTTATTAGATCACAAACTGCTTCTTGAGGAACTGTTTTCTTTAAGTATATACTGATGTAAAATTCAGTCCAATAAATACATTTGTGGTGAGAGGAACTGGGGGGGTGAGCTCAACAATAATGCTCATAGATTAAGTTGAGGATTTTTTGTGCAATTGAAAAAGCTTCTACTTCCTGTAGAAAATAAATAACTGATTTTTTTCATCTGATTCATAAGAAACATGATAGAAAGCTGATTTCTATACTGAAGTTGGTGAAAGGGAAGAACCTGGTTACTGATGTTAGTGCATATCTGTCTGAAATCTAATATATAGAAACAGAACACTTCTGTAAAGGAGTGACAGTAAAAGCTGTTTAATTTTCATTTTAGTTGGAAGGTATTCACTGTAGTGTTGATTCTGCCAGTTCTTTTTTAAACAGCAAAGATTTTCATTACACCCTATGTGAAAAGGGCAATTAAAGCTGTTCCAGCACAGTTTACTGCAGTGTTGGAGTAGCAGTTTGGTTTTTCTGTTCACATCCAGGCTCAGAAAGTGCTAGAAAAGGTCATCTGGGCATTTTACCAGCCTCTAGATTTTGAGTTCTAATGCTTGGTGATGGTGTGGAGAAGTCTGAGGAGATGAAGGTGAATGGAAAACAACACACAAACAATATTCTGTTTTGTCAGAGATGGATTGTGTCACATTAATATGCCTTTTTGATAACAAACTGATTTTTCACAGAAAAAAAGGAAATGCACTGAACCTGACTTGTCTGGATCATGTAAAGGATTTGACATTTTGCCCCCTTGGAAATATTACTTGAGGTAGAAGTGGCA